TCGATGCACTACTTTATCACAATGTGTGTATTTGATGAGTCAAAGTAAACTGTGCTTTTCCTTAGATCATTTGCAGTGGACGACCATCAACAACAGCTGTATGTCAAAACGGTTTGGGTTTTGAGGAGGGCTGCTCTGTTGAACAGGCAATTGCAAAATTACTTGGATGATTTCAGACGATAATTTTAGTGATAGTGACAAGCACTCAGTTATACCAGCATAAAATATGACACTCTCATCTAACATGCCATGAGCTGAAGAATCCCCCTGATATGGTGGCCCATCCATTGCACAATGCCATGTCGATGAAGCAATATTGTTATTGTTCATAGTTGTGTATGTCATCACATATTTCTGAGAATGCAAAAAACGCAATCGGTAGGTTTACGTTGCAGCTAGCTCTGCATAGATGTTATGTACTATGGTATGCGACTTGTCTGGAGACCGTACCGTACATAGCCATCGAAATTGGTTGATCTAGGTTATAGAAATATTGGTACTACTCGAGATTTAAAATTTGGGTTCAAATTGTTGAAAACAGCAACTCAAGACACTGATATCCGATGGCTGGAATACATGTATTAATGTGTTAATTATATTTTTGGGTCCTAGTTTTCGGTATTTTTTGCCATATTTGTTATGCTATCGTGATTTGTCGAGCTTAGTATGTGGGCTATGTGCATTCGAAAATGTCCTCATGAATGTGTGATAAATGTTGCAAATCTCCTTGTACCTTGAGGTCGTTTGGTAAAAGTTTGGACGGGTGAGAAAATCGGAATGGCTGCTCCGCCCTTGAGTGTAGATTTTTCTGCACGAATATGTGAACTACAAATTGTGTAGAGCAATTTTGACGGACTCGGGTGTTTCTGCGTGAAACAAAATGATGTGGCTCTCATGTCACCTATGATTTTCTAAACCATACACATGATGAGAAACCACATAGCATTTCGCATGCCATACATGCGCATGTTAAGCTAAATCTGTTTAATTACGTACCAACACGCGCATTGATAAATGCTCCGTATTGGCGACTTAGACGCCTGCTTTTACTCGCTGCTCATACGATAATTAACGTTTGAATGCAGCACTCTGGCTTACTACAAAGCGACGGGCATGCGATAATATGCATATACAATCTAAACACCTTCATAAAGTTTTTCCTGTCGAATAAAACCAGCAGTGAAACACTGCTGCTGGTCAGGGAACTTGTTGATAATGATGGTTGAGATAATGCTGTTCCACAATCCGGTGCTTATGCAGCATATTCAGTAGAGTGGCATCCTGGTACACTGCCACCTTACCCGTCGCGCCATGATGCTCGCAACGACAAGGCGCAAGTAAAATTGCAATAATTCAAACGAGGGGTGAAACGTTCTACAAATCACGTCTAACTTATCGAAATGCACGTGCATACGTGCAGCACAGTAACCGTTTTATTGACCGTTTCACAGGCCATTCTTCAACGCAGAATGGCTTTACTTTTCCCCGCGCTTACGTACTTGTGCCAAAATAAAAACATCGTGCAGCTCCGCTTTGTCCACATGGTATGAAGTACACATCACATATCTATGGACCAAAATCAAATGGTGAAGTCCCGCGCACTCATACCATTGGCCAGCCAAAATCGAATCAGCCGAAATCCCCTGTGCTAGACCTGCGGGTGACATGGTGGTTTGTTGCGTGAGTTACATGAATGCACGAAACACACATTTTCCCGAAAATGTTTTCAAAGAAAGTGATTTGCTTGATAACTTTGGAAGCGCTGTGAATAATTGGTCTTATGTCTTCGTTTTCATTTTTTGGGAACCGGTTTCGGCCACCTAAATGATATCACCACCACATGTACGAACACATGCATCCACTTACGTGCCCCAACTCCGTCTCAGCCTCAAGGCCCGAATTCTTATCAATTTCTCATAAGGGACATGTGGTAACTTGATACACTTTTAGTCACCGATACTAGACAGCTGATTGTTCAACAAGAGGTGCTGCATTTATCTGATCGCGTGCAGGATATGAATGAAAATATCTGCAAACTCGCGCTTGGTGTAGATATATGAATTCCTCTATTAATTTGTTTATCTACATATAGATGATTTATAAACAGGCAGTTACCACTATTGTTACAAAATGCTTGTTCAGGAATGCTTGGGATGAGATGCATATGGCATTCTCCCTTGACTTGACATGTGAACATCAATCACTCCTTACCCACAAGAAGCGCATCATGGGCACTAAACATCGTGGGCACCAGTCACTCTTGCAGCCCCCTGAACGTTCTACCAAATTCTGCAATCTCGGTGATCAGTACCACAGCTTCCTCCCGCATAAGCCGGTTAAATTCGATGCGGTATACCGAGGAGGGTGGCACTGCATCAGGTTTTCTCATGCCTTCAATATCCGTCCCACCAAACATCTTTTTGCAAGTCTTGAAATACGTCTCTCGATCAACCCACAGCAGTTCCGCAGTCTCTGATTCCACCACAAGCTTGTTCTGCATAGCTGTGGTGACTTCGAGTAGGCTCTCTTTTCCGAAGCCCACCCTCCCCAAAGCATCTGCTCGCAGAGTGACGCTTGCACCCATGTCTGCTTGAGCCTCTGCTTCCGAGCGATACTCGGACACAGCACCGTTCAGCAAAATGCAGTATCCTCGAGGGCTATCGCCGGGGCTCCACAGCACCTCGCCCGCAGTGGCCACCTGCAGCGCCAGCTTCCGGATGCACTCTGTCAGCGCTGCCGGATTAATCGCAGCCTCCGTAGATTGAAGCCAATCATTCCCCGAGATGGCCGCCTCCAGGATATGCACCTCTTCCCGCGTTCGCAGCTTCGGCGGCTTTGCCAGCACTCGTCGTATGAGGTCGCCGGCTGAGTCCTGCGCCCCTCGGGCGCGGACTGCGTGTGCCACCTCCCCGGACCGCCGCACACGTTCCTCACGCTCTGCCATAATTGAATGGAACCGCGAGTACAGCAACGCACCGCCGTACTTCGACAGATCCCCGGGATTTCGCTGAATCATCGACGTCACAGTCTTCTCAAATGACGAGACAAAGCGCTGGGCCCCACTTGGATCTTGGTGCAGCTGCTGCTGCTGCTCTTTGTGCAGCTGCTGCTGCTGCGGTAACCGACCAAGACTCGGCTTGAACGAAGCCAAACCCTGCTGCAAGGAGACGCCAGTGCTGTGCTCCACGAAAGCAGCCAGGAGGGCATCGAGCTCCCCATACCCTGAATGTTGAGATTCTAAGGGCTGGAGCCACAGCGTGTAATACGCATCCTCTTGCGCGGCGAGGTCGAGATCCATGTACACTGAGAGCAAGAGGTTACGCACCCAATCGCAACCTTTGAAGTGCAGTCCTGGCTGCTTGTTCACAAGGCTGGCGGCAGGCCCGAACAGGGCCTTCTCCTGCAGCCAAAGGAACACCGCGGCCAAGTCCAGATCGTTAAGGCACTCCACACGCACGAGGCACATGCCGAGGGCGCTCGACAGGAGCTCCCGGAGGTCATCAAGAGCTTGCGCTTGGACTGCAGGTCCGGAAGCAGCTTCGTTGAGCAGCATAGAGTGGTTCCGCTGATGGTCCTCCCCGCTGATTCGTGAGGCGATGAATTTATCAAACTGCGCCTTTGCTGCGCCCTGGTTCGTCGCTCGCGCGGCCGGGGTTGCTTGAAGCGAGCGCTCGCCAGAGTTCTGCAGAAGCACGTGCTGGCAACGCCCGATGGTGATCAGTTCGTGGAATGGAGCACGGTCTACGAAAGAGGGTGTGAGCTTCGAGAATGGCAGCCTCGAGCCACGTTGATGAGCGGCTTGCCAGCCCCTCGCTAAAGCCTCGTCCAGGTCGTGGACGCCACTTTCCTCGGATCGATCGCGCTTCCCGACGCACACTGACTCCAGCTTGACGACTGTTTCCTCGGCCCAGCGATGAAATGCGGGAACGTCTGAATACAAGAACTGCTCCGCATAGTCGACGAGCGCCTGACCCGCGAGCTGAACTTTTGTGGCCTCCGGATGTTCTCTCTGTAATTGCTGAAGTTGGCCGAGAGCGGCGTCACGAATGGCAGCAATGAGAAGCAGATTGGTTGTCATACGCTGCTGTCCGTCAAGACAGAGGATGCAATTCGGGTTGTTTGCATCTTTCTTAAACATGGCTGTGCCCACACTGTGGCCCTTCCCGCCGGTGCTCACGTTTTTCCACCAGCCACTAACGAGGCGATCGTCGGCTCCCCAGCAATACGTTCTTTGAAACAAAGGAATTCGATATTCAGCACACATACTGAAAAACTTTTCGAACGACATTCTTTCAATATGCTGTTGCGTCTGGGGACCGTGAAGCCCTGGACAGTAATACGACATGTGGGACATAAGTTCTTGCTGCGCCATGCTTCCGTTCAAGCTCGCGACGAGGATGATATCTTTTCGCACTCTTAACTGCGGAGCCCTTAACAGAAAGACAGTTGTGCCAAACTCGTCGGTGGTCAAAGTGGCTTTGCTCGTTAATGTGTCCTTGGATTCGTACGATGATGGCAGTAAGGTCGCGTGAGCAGTCTGGCCCCTTTTTCGCCTTAAACACACACACACACACACACACACAAACACTAAAGAATGTGCTACAATAATGGCGTGCTTCCCCGTCCAGTATAGCCTTTTATTTTTGAACGAGCTGTTGTGAGAGATGTTTGGAGTGCTCTATCTTTTGTCTGGACGGTGTAACGAGGATAGAACCTAAATACCAATGGCAAATTTGCAATGCCAATAGCCTTGATTTATGATATAAGCCTACTGTAGGAGCGGGCCTACAGTAGGATTTTGGCCTCCGCGATACTTTAGGAAACCGAGGAGATACGCCGGCAGCGGCACGCCGCGGTTGTGACTCCAGCACGCGCAACGCGCCGCCGAAACCGGATGGCTCGCGTTGCCACACGTGGCGCTTTTGTGAGTCGAGAACACATTGGTACTGGTGGACTTATGATTGGTTATAATTTAGTTTGTTGACTCAAACCTCCACCCAGCGGCGATAGCTCAGTTGGGAGAGCGCCAGACTGAAGATCTGGAGGTCCCCAGTTCGATCCTGGGTTGCCGCACTAATTAATAAGCCTCTTTAGCGCAGTCGGTAGCGCGTCGGTCTCATAATCCGGAGGTCATCAGTTCGATCCTGATAGGGGGCAATTTGGTTTTAATTTTGATTCCATTTTATGAACCCTCCCCCATATCGGTGGTACTATTTCAGGCCGACATGAAAGCCTTCTAATGACCCTGAGTCTTTTGCCGTTCATTACAAGTAGTTTGTACTAGATTTGTTTCATTTGGCATACCCGCAATCATAATGATAAGGCCGGGTGTCGGCGGAATGCTGAATGGCGACGACGGAACGATGTCGAAATTGGCCCGGCGCTCGTGCGACGACGAGATGGTGTTAGTAGCGCATTCTCGCGTTCGTCTACGTACGCATTCACATGTTGTTGGCGTCTTTGCATATCGCTACAATGATGCGTGGCATGTTGTTTACAACATCGGTGTGTTTTATCTGGTTGCCCTAGCCATCATGAGTGATAACTTCCGAGACTTTCGGTAGAGAACACGGTCAACTACTACGCAGCAAGGCTAGGTATCGATAACTCTGATATTCTGATATATCGATAAATCAGAATATCGGTATCAATTGATATATTTTTTAACGATATCAAAATATTAGTATTGATCGATATCTTTTTACTCATCATATCGGAATCGATTGATAAGTCTTCGGAATTATTGGAATCGATTGATACAATTTTGCTATTATCGGAATCGATCAACGATACATTTCTTGATGCTCAGATCGGAATAATAAGATATCAGAATATCAATATCGGCCATTGCGATCCTGGGGGAGGGAATGTTGAACTTTGGATTGGATAGCTAGGATGTTGAAATTTGGACTCCTGCTATATCACTAGCTCTCCATGTAATTCACCAGGCAGAGGATGGTGTTGATGACCTTTTTTATTGCAGTGATGATGAGTGTGAAGCTGCTCCTGCTAGTTCTGGTATGGTCATGAGAAACCCGGAATATACTAGCTATATGAGGGTGGGATAAGAGATGGTACGACAGCTGCCATAAGGCAGCAGCTGAAGGACAATGGCTGCGGATAATATTACCAGAGTAAGGGCTGGCGGCTTGCGCCGCCAAGTTATTACGAAGGGAAGATTGTCTGAGAGTCAGGCGCAGGTCGCAATGTCATCGTCATAACGCGTGACACCGCGACCGCGACACTACGATGCTAAAGGTGAGTGCTACGAGGAGTCACTAATACTAGATACTACTATAGGGTACCTAATATTGTACTCTCCATGACACTACCTGACTACGAAGTGGTCACTCGCCTAGGCACTACCAATGTAATGCAACACGAGGGCATACACGACGGTTTGCATGCTAGATATACATTTCTAGGGCACTACCGATTTATGTGCTAATTACATGCCTCTTAAGGCACTACCCTTTAACGTGCTTCTAAGCACTACCTACAAACGAGATCACAACGAGTCATCGAAGAGCAGATTTTGAAGATGTTGATGGAGTTATAATTTCAGGTCCCTCGAAGATCATCACACGCCATGGGGACGTGGAGAAGGGTCAAAACTGAAAATAGGCCTTGGCAGATCGCGTCAAGTAAGATGGCTGTAAAATGTCGACGATGCCGATACAAAACGCGTCGAATTTTCTGAAAATTGAAGCCGTTGATGAACAGCGTTTGAGGGGGTTGCTGTTTAGGTTGATGTCGAGGAATTCCAACTTCCAGAGGGGTAGGGAGGAGAGAAGGGTCGACGAACGCGATCCGGCTGTAAATCTGGCCAGAAAATCTGCCAAATGGCTGATTAGTAAAGATTGACAAAGAAGTCAAAGGGGTTGAGGGAAAGATGCCCGGTTGACGGGTTACTACTCCTCAGAAGTCCATTGTCCAGCATAAAAAAAATACGGCTGCCTCTAAAAACCTCGAAGGTGGCAAAATCGACAGTCGTTGGCGAATTGGGTTGGCACTACCGATTTTAAGGATCTGAAGTAGGGGGGCGATCAGAAAACAGGTAGAGAGCGGACAGCGCGGCCGGATTCAGTGCGAACTCGGAGTTGATGCTGCGTGAGAAGCCAGGGATGCGGCTGAAATTTGAGTGCCAAAAGTGGGGTCACAACTCCCACTTAAGGATAAGAAATTCCGGGGAGACCAAATCCCGAAATAACTGTGACTACTGGGGTCACCACTCCCCAGAAGTCGTTGTAGGAGGTTGCAGCGGCCGAAAAGGGCAAGAGGACGCGTGGAGCCATGCCGGCTGTAAGATGAAGCTAGAAATAGGGGAAGATCTCAAGATTTCGCGAATCAGAATCCGAAAAATACAGGGGAAGCGTAAGCAAGGCCCATAACCTCATGAGAAACCCGAAATATACTAGCTATATGACGGTTGGGGAAAAGGGTGAAAACTCCACTCGTTTCGTGTCAGCACTCCACGCCGTGTTTTACTTCACGTTTTTCGTGTCACGACTCCACGCATGCTACCTGTGACACATGCGCGGACCTACCGCTATGCGGCATATGTCGAGCTACCTTCACATAATGAGCGGGACGCTTGAAAATTATTCCGAATACCGTTTGCAATATTGTTCAAGCTTTGATATTCACAATACCGCCATGGTGAAAGCTATCAAGAAACCGCTTAAGCAAACTAACAAGATATCTTCATATTTCATGCCTTTACCCATTAGTAAAACGCGTGAGTACTTCGTATCTACGCTATATCCACCGGCAAGTCTTACTGGTGAACACAAAGGGAAACTCCCCACTCCAACTCAACGTGATATTCACATAGGTACTTGCCAGCTTCACTATGTGGTCGGCTACGAGCCCGACTATGCATATGTGATAACTCAAATATCACAACCGCAATACCTCATTTTCAACCGCATATTGCTAGCGGGGGAGGTATCTACCGAATACCGTATTCGTTTGTTGTATGCATATGCCGTGCACCTAGTCGACAAGAACAAGCAAACAGTTTATTGTTATGCCAAACAAGATATGAAGGTGAGACATAAGATATCTGCAAATATGGCGATATCATATGGACTTTGCTATGGGTGCTTGAACTACCTAGTCACTTCGATCGGTTATTTCAAATTTTGCAGTAGGGTGGTGTAGTTACAAGTATTGCTGTAGGATTTACTAAGTTAGAATAGTACTGGTGGCCAGAACCTTGGAGGCAAGCAAGTTTGCCTGCTATCATACATTTTGAAAAAGCAAAGACTATAGCTAACACCTTCGAAATCGGCCTTCCTAATTCGATGCCAACCCCTTGTGTCACACTTCAAAACCGTGTATGGATCTCCTTCCTTCCGAGAACCGAAAAATGTATGCGTGTGATCTTCGTACTCACTCCCTCCGAAGTCCACAAACTCATTTTTGAAGCAACCTAACTTAACCCAGTATTGATACTGCACGTCGTAGGCATCTTGGTGCCAGTTTATTTCTGCTGTGTCATCCTTGCATGATGCGTAAAGGCACCACCCCCCCTCTTTGTATTCAGGATCAAGGTAATCTAACACCATGTCCGCAAGCACCCACAATCGTCTCCTAAACCAAGTGTGGGAGGGTAGGCTGAGTGGGTCCGCATGACAAACCCCCTTTCCAGAGTGGAAAGGATGTGGAAGAGTAAATGTTTTTTTCTTTATCGCGCGGCACGTGCTTCCCATGCTAAACGACCATAGCACATCGAAGCCCTGTTTTGTGCGCCTGCCAGCCTGCCTCTCAATTTTGGCAGTCATTCTCCTCTCCGTTTCTTCCACGAACATTTCTTCAATTTTCTTAAGCAGTTTTTGCACTTCAAACGTGCGACTTCGAAGAATGGCGCGCGGCCTGCTTATACACGTGTATCAAAAATAATTAGTCCTCTAGATAAATTGAAACTCACTTTGTATGCTACACCCTCATAAACAACACGACTAGCGTCGCAAGACTTTCCAAACGTAGTTGCACACGCCACGATCGCCTTCCTGTCTTCCACGCTCTTGCCACATATGTACCAAGCTTCGATCTCCCCAAGCGCCTTCGTGTGACCAGGGTAAGCGATGGGTGGCAACAATACTTTCACACTAACACATTGGAGTAGCAACTCCCTACCGTCGCTCACTGCTGGTCGCTCATACGAGTTCAGCAGTTTTACGCAAAGGAAAGAAATGTTAGCATGCACTAGTCGCTCAAATAAAGGTGTGCACAAACCGCGACTGTATGGGAGGGAAGTCACTACGACATCTACATTGCTCTTCGACAAGTCACTGCCAAGTAAGTCACCCTCTCGAAATCCGCTTGCGGGGTACTTGTCAAACAAAACTATTCCTTTCGCGCCGAATTTCGCAAGCTCACTATACACCGTTGAGGCTTCCTTCCCACAACAAAAATCTCCAAACTTCATTCCGTGCAGGAGTGTGCCGAATATCGCTCGCAAGATGGCATACTGACACGACTGTGTGGGATAAAATGCTTTTTGCCGATCGCAGGGATAACTCGTGGAAGGAAGATCAAAAAACGTCACAGGAGCACACCGCCTATTCATTTTCGTTCGTGGCCTCTTCGTGGGGCGAGTTTCACTTGTTTCAGTTGTTGCTTGTTCTAAGACTGTTGGAGCTATAGGCATGGTGAACAAATCGTTCACCCAAGCATAGAAACTTTCACTTTGATCGTGAAAAGCACAACACCATGCAAAGGGTTTTGGTGGTGCAATCGACTCGCATGCCTGAACAAATCTTGCGCGGTATTCTGTATTTATCAAAGTATACTGGGCGTATGAACGCGTGATGTCAACTAAAAATTCTGCGGGTAGATCGTTGCAATCGTTGGCAAGTTTGCCATGTATTACGGGCGGAAACTCATATGCAACTGGCCAGTAGTTTGGACGAGGTCCACCAACTAGTTGTGCCCACGCGCCAAGGAGACATCTTATCAACTTCCTCAAAGCTTGTACTCCTGGCTGCTTTGGTTTGCTTATTTTGTTGCAAATGGAGCGCGGCATACTAATATACTCCAGTAAGTATTCAATATATCCGTGAACTTAACTTTTCACACACAACTTATCACAACTTATCACACTGTACTCACATTCGATATGTGTCCTAGAGCCTTTAGTATCGATCGCACGG